GTCTAGGACCAATGTACTGGACACTAAAGATCCCTGCATTAATACCAGATATCTTATGTTCTTTAGGAAACTGAAATTGGGTAGAACACAATCGTTATCTTTTACAGTCTACTTTATATTTTGCTTCAGGAGGATTGAGAAACTTACATATAATCTTTCTACTTTTAAGTCACCTTCATGAGTCTTTATTCAATGTCACTATTAAAAAGACCCACCAGTCACCTGTCAGTTTGTTGGACTGAGGTCGCTTGCAAGTTGCTGTGATGCTGGAAACTATACTACCTGTATTTCAAATACCAGCAGGGTCCCACATAGGAGACAGGTTTCAGTGGAGCTTTTGGACTAAGACAGACTAGGAAGAAGAACCTGGTGGTCTACTTCTGAAAAAACTGGCCAGGAAAAGCCTTATGAATAGCAGCTGAATATTGTCTGATATAGTGCTCGAAGATGACCCCCTCAGGTTGGAAGGCGCTCAAAATATAACTGGGGAAGAGTTGCCTCCTCAAAGTAGAGTCAACCTTAATGACATGAATGGAGTAAAGATTTCAAAAGCTTCATTTCCGATGTGGCATGACTAAAAATAAACAGCTACAATCATCCATTAACAATAGGAACGTGGAATGTATGAAGGATGAATCTAGGAAAACTGGAAGTCATCAAAAATGAAATGGAATGCTTGAAGATAGACATCCTAGGCATTAGTAAGCTGAAATGGACTGGTAATGGCCATTTTGAATTGGACAATCATTGATCTACTATGCAGGGAATGACAAATTGAAGAGGAATAGTGTCACATTCATCATCAAAAAGAACATTTCAAGATCAATCCTGAAGTACAACGCGGTCAGTTATAGGATAATATCCATATACCTACAAGGATTACTAGTTAATGCAACTATTATTCAAATTTACAAACCAACCACTAATGCCAAAGATGAAGAAATTGAAGATTTTTATCAACTTCTGAAATCTGAAATTGATCAAATACACAATCAAGATGCACTGATAATTACTTTTGATTGGAATGCAAAAGTTGGAAACAAAGAAGGATCAGTAGTTAGAAAATATGGCCTTGGTGACAGAAACGATGCCAAAGATCACGATACAATTTTGCAAGACCAATAACTTATTCATTGCAAACACCTTTTTCCAACAACATAAATAGCCAACTATACACGTGGACCTCACCAGATGGAAAATACAGGAATCAAATCGACTACACATGTGGAAAAAGACAATAGAGAAGCTCAATATTATCAGTCAGAACAAGGCAAGGTGCTTGTCTATCAATTGCTGATAGCAAGTTCAAGTTGAAGCTGAAGAAAATTAAAACAAGTCCACAAGAGCCAAAGTACAACCTTCAGTATATCCACCTAAATTCAGAGAA